GAATACCGCCATACCTTTTAACCCCGCCGGGGGGACAATTTTTTTTTTTCTTTTTTTTCCGGGCCCGGGGGGGGAAGGGGGGGGGGTTCTTTAATTATTGTTCCCTTTTCTTGGGCCCCTTCCCCAAAAAAAATGGGTTCTTGTCCTCCCTCCTTCTTATCCGGGAAGGGGTTAGGCTTTTTTTTTTTTTCTTTGCGACCCTCGTTTTTTTTAAATTAAAAGGGTTTTTCCCCCCCCTTCCCCCCCCATTGGAAAACCCCCAGGTTTTCCCTCAGGAGTTGTTTGTTTGCCTTTTGGTTTTGTCCCTTTTTCCCCCCCCCCCCCAGGGGGAGGGAAAGCGGGGCTTCGAGAAAAGGGTTTGGGGTTGGGCCCCGCCCGGGGTTTAGTGTCATTGGGGGGCAACAATGACCTGGACGTGGGGCAACAAGCAAATTACCCAAAAATCCATTGGGTTTTGGGTTTAGTAGAGGGAGAGGGGGGGAGGGGGGGGGGGGGGGGGGCAGCCGGACGACCAGAATGTTTACTGTGTAGAGCACCACTCCTGGCACCTCGGCTACACTACATCCGTGTCCACGCGTTGTACGGGACAGCCCAACGAGGGCAAGAGAATACCTTACGGGAAAGACAGGGGCAAAGCCTTCCTCCTACGACACTTCAACATGCTCCGTGCTTGAAGAAAAAAACACAAGCTTCTCTGTCGTTCCACCGAGCGGCAAAACAAGTTGCTCTCCACCAAACAAAACACCGCCAAGATGCCGATACAATCGTATTTCCTTCCTTCCATCTCCATCCGCTGCGCTCCTCCGAGCGAAGAACAAAAGTAACCACGCCCAGTTTCGGCCTTGTCAAGCCCCCTACCCTGCCTTGTCCACAAAAACATACAAGCGGTGTTTCTCTGTTGTTTTTTTTGCCTCGACTCGGCGCACCTGGAAGCCGCTCTGCAGGCAGCTGCGGAGGGCGTTGAGCTGCTTGATGTGGGCCCAGTCGGCCACCGTGAGGCTGCCGTTCTGCAGGCTCACCACCTCCTCCGGAGGCTCGTTCTCCCCGATCGTCGCGAACAGCTGCCGGAACGTCCGGCGCTGCTGCTTCTTGGTCTCTCGGCTCAGCTGCACTCGCGTGCGTCCGTGTGAGCGCAGCATCCGAAGCGGTCCGGTCCGGTCCGGTTCGACGAAGGGAAGGGAAGGAGAGCGTGTGGGCGTACGGTTGTACACGAAAAGTTCGTCAGCAAGGTCGAAACCAGATGCGAAGGCGTTACAACTAATAGGGCCGCGGAATCAGCGAGGTGCGGTTTGTTTTCCATCGGATTGCCTGTGCGTGAGCGCCGAGGGGTGTTTGAAGAAGAATGGGATTTTAATTTTCACTACAACAGCAAGGAAGAACATACGGGTGTAGGGCAACGTGCGGCAGGGAGCGTGCTTGTCTCGGCCGTGGCGATACTTGTAGCGTGGGTGAGAAAAATCGGGTCCCGGAACACAGTCGAGGCACCTCGCCAACACCCTCCCAGGTGATTCATAAAAGGTTGGAGGGTCGACCGCCACATGTGTTAAGCCGGAATATGATACGCCGCTCGCTTGCAGCCGTCAAAGCGAGAAGACCCGCCAGCCCTCACCACGTCTACCCCATGCACCATGCATCGCACAGCGTGACCCCCACACGACAAAAATCACGACCACACGGCATAAAAAGAGACCCTAGAGAATTGGCAGAGAGCGACAGAGAAGAAACAGCGTGTGTGTGTGAGAGAGAGAGAAAGAGACAGAGAGAGAGAGAGCTCCCCTCCAACCACAATATCCCCAACCCTGCCCACCGCGCCTTCCAGCACGCCGCACCTTCTTGCTGCTGTCGGTGATGAACCCCTTCATCTCCTCCACCACCTCCTCCCACAGCACCGTCAAATCCATCGCCTCCATCTCCGCGGCGCCATCATCATCATCCTGATCCTCTTCATCCTCCTCCTCCTCCTCCTCGCCCCCGCCCTGCGCCGCCTCCGCAGCGCCCCCCCCCCCTCCTCCGGACCAATCCGCGGACCCCCCTTCCCCGCCGCCAACCAGCCCCAGGATGATTCGGCTCTCGTGTAGGAGAGCGAGGTTCTCTCCGGCCTCAATGCGCACGTCCATGTCCGGGCTCGAGAGCAGCTCCCTGAACACTCGGAGGTGCTGCTTCGTCATGCGCGTCGCCACCCAAGACCGCGACACCGTGGTGGCCAGGAGGCCCCACCCCGACAGCGCCGCCGCGCACACCTTGTCCGTCACCTCTAAGCCTGTTGGTTTCGGACGGCCGGCCACACGGCCCGTGATTCGCGGGGAGCGGGGAGGGGAAAGGGGGGGGGGGGGGGTACCCATATTTCGCATGCTCTTGCTGTTTGGCCATTGACCACGCGTCCTCGAGAGGGCGGAGCATAGGGGGTGGGGTCATGATAACATAAAAGCATGATCGCTGTCGTGTTATGGTGGGGACCCTGGCACCCCTTCGTTTACTAGCAGACGGCGGCGCAGCTTTTGATTGGGCTACAGCAGCTTCCATCCCGCTACAAGAGTTACAACACACCGTTTCATGGCAAGCCGCTTAGCTCCGTCCAAGTAAATGACAGAAACACCACGCGCACACTCATAACCATGGGGCAGCAACGCTGCCTGCCTGGTGGTGCTGAGTGTCCTCCTTGTATTTCAGAAGCAGGACACTGTCGTCCAACTCCTGCGCCCCCCCCCTCCCGGCAGAACCGCGCCGCGTCGACTAGAAAGCGTCCTTAAGTTTTCCATCCCGCTACAAACTGACGTATTTCCATCCGTCAGCCGGCTAGCGCGGTCGGGTGCAAATAAAAACCCCACCCGCAACGCCCTCGTGCTACCCCTTTTACCGTCGCTCGTCCTGCTGAACACGTCGGCCAAGAGGTCTAGGGTCTCGCTGGTGTTGTCGTCGTCGCTCGAGCAGATGAAGCATGCAAGCGCAAGGGTGCGCACCGCCCCGACCCTCACCCCTTCATGGCGGCTGCGGGTGATGAGGCTCCGCAGCGGCCGCCGCAGGGACCGAAACGCCTCCTCCTCCTCCGGCCCGATGCACACGCACAGCACCGACAGCGCTCGCAGCGCGTGAGCCCCCTGGCATATGTTTCGCGTGTGTGTGTGTTTTTTTTTCTTGTGAGTGTGAAGAGCTCTCCCGCATGTGCACGTCTGTTGGGCTATGATACGTAACACGAGAACTTGGGACCCTTTCGGTACCTTTCCCTGGAAACATACCTGTCATATATTCGAACCCCACCCCGTCCCGACCTGCACAGGGACTTCCATTCTCGTTTGGACTATTATACAACACAAACGACCTGCGCTACGCAATAGCCCATCTGGGACAAATGCAGCCGGTAGAAAAGCACGCATGAGCTCTCCACGTACATCCATCTAAATTGAGACTCGATGGTAATAGGCGTAAGGCGGCACATACCTACACATCCTTCACTTCCGAGCGAGATCAAAACAAAACGCCCAGCAGATCGGAGCTGCCGCGGCCGTAACCCCCCTCAAAAAACCCCTCCAAAAACACCCCCCACCTGCGACTCCCCCCTCTTCGATGTTTGCCATCGGGGTTGGGTTTTCGTCGCTTGGCAGCGATGTTGTAAAACAAGCCGATTCACTTCGTGAGCTCGGCAACCAGGTTACCGCTTTTTTTTTTTTTTGCCTTTTTTTTTTTTTGCGGTAACCATGAACGGTGGTCTAGTAGAATATGTTGTGCGGGGTCGAGAACCCTCACTCTGCGCAAAGGGGATGATCGCACCACGTTTTGTTAAAATGGTCAAGTATCTTCGAGGCAGGTACACAGCAGTGCTTACAGTTGTCTCTGGAAGGGAAAGCACAGAAAATACATTAAGTCATACTCAGCTGTCATCCATACGCAAGGAAGTAAGCACAAGATGCCCAACACCCTTAGCAGGATTCAGCGCACCCTTCATGCGACTCGCCGAATACCTCACGGCGCTTCGTGCTTGGTGATGTGAGAGCCTGGTCCGGTCAGAACCCGGCGTGCTCCGTCCCGGCTTTGTAGGGATGCGAGGTCAATGGTATAACGACTACGGCATGCACGACTATGAGTACCCCCCCTCCCCCCCCCCACCTGCGACTCCGTGCCCTTCCCACGAGCGACGCCGATCAGGGCCGAGAGCACCGTCTCCCGCATGGCCAGCACGGGCTCGAGGTCCGGAGAGTGAAGCATGAACTTGATGACCGCCCTCAAGCCGGCCTCGCGCGTGGACGCCCTGGGCAGGCGGTCGATCATTCGGTCGGCAAGAGGGGCAAGCAGGCAAAAAGGTGTCGGTCAAGTCAGTCAGTAGCAAAATAGGAGAGGCTCAGGTGCATAATAAAAAGACACCCACGAACACGTGTTGGTGCCAGCCACGACGGCGGGAAGATTATTTTCCTGCCGTGAACAAACCACGCCGAGGGCGAGCAACGAAATACACTTGTAAAAACATATCGAACATGTATGGTCAAGTTCTTCAATGCTTCTCCTACCAAGTCATTGCAAAATTGGTGGCGCGTCCGGTGCTTGGCCTGAAAACGCGAGGGCCCCGGGAAGTCCACTATGTCAGCTGTGTGCGCTCGGGTGGTACGATGATGTGATCAAATCGTGCGGGGGGTCCACGATCCACGATATAGCACAAATTCCAGATTCAAGAGCAGAAGAAAAATAGCACTCGATTTTCCTTTGTTGTCGCCGAGAGCGCTTGGTACACATTCACGTGTAGATGAACGCAATACAACCGAAGCTGATAGATATCCCTCTTCAACTAAGGCACAACCAACAAGTGGCTGTGCAACATGTTAGCCGGTGTATTGTGCTATCGAACCTCCACATTGTACCTACATGCAGAATCAAAGAAAACTCCTGATCTTGTGAACCCATAGAGATTGGAGTTGAGGATAAAATGCGTGACCGATTCGTAAGTCCACAAACCGCGTGTGTTGTGTTGCGAATGGAGCGTCCGGACCAAGCAACTACATACTTAGGTTTCTCGTCGTGAGGAGTAAATGAAGAGTGAAAGTACGTCATAGCACGTCATCAATAGGTGGCTCTATTTCGGCAGCGCGACAGAGTCGTGGACAACGGGTTCTCCCCAGAAGCAGCCCTACCCCATGCGCACAAGTTACTCAGGGGGAAGGAAGGATCAGCAGCTAGCCTAGCCGGTGGCTTCTCCCTCTCTCTCTCCCCCCTTCCCATCGGTACCGCGGAGCCACCCTCTATTCCTGCTGCCTGGAGTTTCCCAGACCCCCTGTTGCAGTGCATCATACGCCGATCAATGCAGATAGATGTACGGCAATACTGCTGCAGTGTAGTCCCACCTCTTTTCCGTCAGCTGCTCAACACCGTCCTTGAAGTCGTCCACCGCCTTGCTGTTGACACCCTCTTCTCCCCCAGCTGCGTCCCACGCCCCGCCGCCGCCGCCGTTGTATGTCTCGGGGTAGTCGAGCGCACTCCCGTACGTGTCTACGCTCGTGGTGGACATGGCGTCATCGATGACATCATCTCCGAACTCCTCCCTGCTGCTTGGAGACTTCCTGCCCTTGTTGCCTGTTATAAGGGGGACCGCAAAAGAGAGGGGATGCACCAGGGCGTGGTCAAGCCAAGCGTTGTTGGCGGCGATGCAAGTGTGCCCTTCACACATCAGAAAGAAACAGCAGGGTGTCTCGCGCAGCATTCTCTCTTTGGGAAAGAAAGCCGTTGTCACAGCAGGAGCGCGACTTTGTCAAGAAAGGACGCAGAGCAAAACAAGCGCCACGCGATGACACACCTTTCTTGCCCATCTTGGCAGTGCTGTCCGGGATCACTTCAACCGATCCCCTAACACACCAAGCCACAAGGAAGAGCGCTTGCGGGCTCTGGACACCTCTAGCACATCAGTGATGAACTTGCAGTGATCGATTCGATCGCCGCGGGGGCGCGTGGACAGCAAAGGTCATGGCATACACGGCCAATCGTTGTCGTATCAAAACTGTGAGCCCCCCCACACGTTTTGCATTGCGGTACTTGAAGCTCTCCTGCCTGTGCCGACGCCACGAGCCACGAACACAGCACCGCTACGTTACCTGTGTGTGCCTGCGCTGATCTCGTCGTGGGTGCGCGAAGATATTGCCAGCTACACCCACACCGTTGAATTTAAGGTGCCTACCGGGTGTAGATTCTTGAGGTTTAGTGCTCAGATCTCTCGAGAACGCTGCTGGTGTTGGCACGCGCGCCCTTCTTTTCTCTCGCTTGGTACAAGAGCACAGGACCTGCTGATATGGCGCTCCGTATCGTTGGGCAGCACAAGGGCTCGATCACGCTGGACCTGGAAAATGCGACGGTGCTCGACCTTAAAAGATCGATCGCTGCCGCCTCCGGCCTCACAGCGTCTGGGCTCAAGCTCCTCGCAGGCAAGGACATGATGCGGAGGAATAAGGAGATTTGAACATGATGACATGATGACCCCCCGCACTGCTTTGTCCACCGCCGTCTCACACTGCTGCTGCTGTTGGGCTGCTCTGCCCTATGTCCTGCGCTTTTCACAAACCAAGATTCCGCCAAGCGCGTGCGGGTGACGAATCACCAACAGGAAACACTGCCCAGGCAGGATCGCTGCTGTTCGTGGTTTGGAGTGTTATGAAAACAGCGGACGGTCAAAACTGGCTCTTTCTCTGTATTCTCGGCTAGGGTCCCATTTGTCAAATATCCTCCGTGTACGAACGGCCTTGTGAATGATATCCTACCGCCGGAGTGGATCGATTTCTTGCGTCTTCTATTTGGCGGAAGGCACGGTGCAGGACATATGCAGGATAGAGGTTCACCTCTCGAGTCATCCACTCAACGTTTTTCGAGGATGAACTTCCTACGCGTGTCGGTCCCACATGCGCAAGACAATAAAAATGCGTTTCCGCGGGCTTGGACGTCACAGATGGCCGGCCTTTCCGTGGTTCTTGGCCCTTTCTCCTTCGCAACAGCAACAGCACTAGCACCAGCGCAGCATAGGGGAAAGCTAGCTTTTTGTGACAAGGATGTTTAGTAAGACGCTCCTGAATACGTTCCTCCGCCTTGTCACTTTTTGCCCTCTGCTGCTTGTTTCGCTTTCTCGGGATCAGGCGGCAAGCACTTGAAAGACGATGCAGGCAAGCTGGCTCAGTTCGGGTGAGTCGGTGTAGGCAGCAGTCTAGGCGAGTGAGTGCACTACATACCTTTCTTGGGCAATGTTTGGTGAAAAGAAATTGCCGTGATTCATCTGTAAGGGCGCTTTTCCAAATTTTGGAGGGGAAAAGGAACGACGTTTGGTCTCCTGCAGCTCCCATGGGGTCGAAAGCTGCAGTCTCTCAACACCGGCGTTGCTGGATATGCATACAACAACGCGGGCGGCGGCCGGATGGCCAACAACACCGAATTCTAATCAGGGCCCAAATCAAAGCAAACGACCAAGTGATAATTTATCGAGAAAACAGTACAATACTAGCGTCATGGTAGATATTGAAATTCAATCGCAGCACATGTTCATCACGGCTATCATGGCTTGAAGTAGTCGTTTTCTCTTCACGTCCACGGCACACAATAATGCATATTCCAATCCAATCACCATCCCATCCAAGACACCTGCTTCAGGATGACACCCACAAGATACAAAAATATGAAATATGCCAATCTGATCATCATCCCACATCTAAACGAACTGCGTCAGGATAACGCCGGGCAAGACCATCATGGTCCTGCGCCAAGACCTCTCCGAACAGGTCGAGGCGGAGGCGGGGTTAACCCGCAGGACGGAGGAGGCGGTGCAGGCGGCCTCCCTGCTCTCGGCTCGGGCCGCCCGCGACATGGGCAGCGGCGGCAGGGGGAACGCCTGGGGTGCGTGGGGACGGGACGACGGCCGCGGCGGCGGCGGCGGCGGCGGCGGGCGATCGGGAGGCAGGGGTGGGAGGGGAAGAGGTGGCAATCGCCCTGAGGTAGGTGGGTCGGAGGTGGCAAAGCTCACGGCAATCGTGGGGGTTTTTGTTTGTTTTTATCACTTCCATTAACCAGCGCTCGAAGCTCACGGAATTTCCTCTGGGTTTCTATTTATTTTTTTATTGTTGGTCACTTTATGTCAGCCCTCACAGCATTCCGCGCAGGGCAGGAGCTCGAATCCGTGGAACATGCATGTTGAAAAATGCCAAACAAATACGCCCTGCCGTGTCATTCACTTTCGGAGTACCACCACCACCACCACTATCACCACCGCGGAGAAACTATGGCAACACGCTCCTTGCGCAAATTTCTGGAGCAAGATGTCGTCCGTGTGGGGCTCTGGGGTATTCACGGGGGTGAACGAGCAATGAGACGATTGGTCGATGACGCAGTTGTTTCGTTGCAACCTTTTGTCATACCCCCCTGTACGGTGTGCTCTCGTGGGACCAAGGATCGGCGAAGAGATTGCGGTGTTCTACCCAGCTTCAACGATGGAAATCTCCCCGGGCAAGTGCCTACCACTGTTGCCGCTGCGTCAGTGTATTTGCAACCGTAGTCCTTTTTTTTCGTGTCTCGCCACTCAGATCGAGCTGACCAACCAAGACGGGGAGGCCATGGCAATCCCTCCGGACGACTCGGCCGCCCTGATGGAAGGCATGATGCTTCACCGCCAGGGGCTGGCCTGCCTCCGTCGAGCGCGCAACACCGCCCCGTCGAGCAGGTCACCCGGGGCGGCGGCGGCGGCAGCAGCAGCGGCGGCTGCTGCTGCCGCTACGGGCGATGGCCACGCACCGCCGGCAGCAGCCGAACGAGCTCCGGCCGGTGTCCAGAACAAGAAGGCTCGCCACAGGCCGCAGACGGGTCCTGAGGCAGCGGCCAAAGCTGCACCGGGCGCGAGCGAAGAAGGAGCGCTGAGACTCAAGTCCCCTGCTGATCGCGGCGGTGGCAGTGGACGACCAGGCGGGTGGGAAGAGCGGAAAGAGAGCGAAGGCAGAAGCGTGACGCAGGAGCAGGAGCAGCAGCAGCAGCAGCAGCAGCAGGGGACGGCGGAGAGAGAGGGCAAGGGCGAATCATCGCCGCCGAGAGCCGGGATTGTCGGTCGAGCGGCAGCCAAGGAACAGCTGCCGGAGCGCACGGGCGCAAGGGAGGAGTCGACGGGCAACGAAGGTTTCACTCCGAGCCCCGCCCCTGAGGGCACCGCCGCGGCTCCGGGGTCACCGCCGACCGACGCTCCGCCGGCGTTCGGAGAAGAGTCCGGGGGCGTGGCTTCGGCAGGGGACGGAGATGCGATGGAGGTTGATTCGGATGGCAACGACCAAGCGGGCGAGGGCTCTGGCGGCGGCAGCGGCGGCGGCGGCAGCGGCACCGTGCGGGGGCCTCGAAGGGACGGGCCGACGTTGACGGCGGCGGAGAAGCTGATGGCGCAGCGGGAAGGGCTCGGGCTGCTGATGAGGGCAGACGAGGCGTTCCGGAGGTGTGACCCCAAGTACCTGGAGGCCGTCGACAACTACGCCTACCTCTGCCTGGGTGAGTTCGGGGTCGCCGTAGGGTAAAATAGGCGGTTTCTGTCCGATTCGACACGCGCACGGCAACGCCTCTTGATTTTTTTGTCTTGTTTTCTCTGTGTGTCTACATGTAGGCGGTTGTTGTTCTGCAACCGGGTGCTGTGCTTCCTGTGGCTGGGTTGGTCTGGACACACGATTTAGGCGGTTAGGTATCCTGTTCGTATGCTCTAAATATTCTCGAGCTGCCGCTTTGAGAGTGCAAAGACATGCGTATCCACAAAGTACGGACCACTGTCCTTCCCCGCTGTATTCGGTCGGCCTGTGTCTGCAGCGCCGTCTCATGCTTGCTACGCGTGCCCTCTAGAACCCTGCCGGGAAATGAGTTGGTGGAGGGACATGACTTCGGTTTCGTCGAAAGAGGATACGGAGCGTGTCGGGTCTATTGCCTTCGATATGGTTTTGACAACTCCGCGAGATGCTGACCCCCCCCCCCGCTCCATCCCTCGCGTGTCCCCCGACGCCGCCAGACATCGTATGGCTGCTCTTCCTCATGAAGGACATGAAGAACATCGACCTCGCGTCTCGCATGCTGGCGGCCGTGGAGAAGGGGTTCCGGAAGGCCCACGGGGAGGGCCTCCAGCGGCTGACCGCGCTCAAGGGGGAGCACTGTGCGGAGAAGCTCCTGTACGTCAGGCTCCATCTGCTGCAGGTGTGTTTCGATCGATTGTATACTTGTGACGATCCGTTCAAGATTGGGCGCACAATAGAAAGACGTTTCTGTGCATTGATTGCTCGTTTGTTTCGCGAACAAATACATACAAGTGATATACCATGGTATTTTTTCGCGTTTTTCTGCTCTCGCTCTCGCTTTCACGTCTCCGCGACCCTCTCGCAGTGCGTGTGTCTATTTTTCTGGACTCTGTGACGACTTCATCTGCCATCACCACCCGCACGTTCGCTCCCCTCCCCTCCCCTCGGCAGTAGCCAGTCCCTCTGTCGTTGCGTCGGCCGGTTTCCTCGGGGGGCGGGGGTAGATAGCAAGTAGCCGCCGTGTTGTGGACAGGCGTACCACTCCCAGGTGCCGACGCTTTTCAAGTACGGTTTGCGCTTGGAGTAGTGTCCCAGGATCTCCCGTGCTTGATACCTCTACGGTGTAGTCTAGCCCTTGGTCACACGCGCGACGCATCGGATCCGGATCAGCACGATGGGGGGGCTGTCTACCTCTCTCCCGCCTGGTCCGGCCAAGGGAGCAGGCCGATGAGGGAGTATTTGCCGTACTTTTCCCTCCAAAAGTGTTCCAGTTCTCTCCACTCAATCTTGTTTTTATTTTTCGCCAACTCTGTCGCCCTGCCTCTTCCTCCGTTACTCAAACGTACGGGGAGCATCCGAACGTTGCGGGGGATAAGGTCTGGAGGAATGCTTCCTCCGGCAGCGCTCACGTGCCATAGCGGGCGTCACTCGACGTACCTCGGGTCCCATCCACACCAAGCTTTTCACGTGCAAGACCCATACCCCCCCCCCTCTCTCTGACGCTGGCGTTCCACCCACCGCTCATCGGCTCTGCTGCTGCTGCTGCTGCTGCTGCTGCTTCCGCGACAGGGGGTGGTGGCGTTTCTCCGGGGGGACTCAGGGGAGGCTTCGGCGCTGCTCCTCCGCGCGAGCGGGGAGGCGAAGGCCCTCAAGCCTAACCCGGCCCTGGCCTGTCGCTTGATGCAGAAGTGGCACACGGTCAGGCTCGAGGTGCTGCAACCGAAGGTGCGGTGGGCGCTGGTTCTGGAGCGCTGATGTCTCGCTCTTCTGGGTAAGGCCTGTGTCGGTTGCTGGTTGATGCCCGGCACCTGGCACGTCGGAGGAGATGTTTTGTGGTGGTCATACGCGAAAAGGGGCTTGCACCTGAGGCTGGTGTCGCAAACACGCCTTTGGACGGTTGGACATGAGCACGATACACACATCTCGGCTTTGCATCTACGTCGTTGAACTCGAGACCAACTATCGTGCTGGTGTTTCGTGCGGCCCGTTTTGCTTTTCACTTTGGGAAAACGTTCGAAAACTTTCACCGTTTTCTTTCGATTGCTCTTGAGTCCAGGCGGTCTTACAATAGCCACCCTCCTGATTCTGTTTGATCTGTTCGCATGAGCCCTCTCTCCCATGGAGAACTTCGTTGTCTGGCCTATCAACCAGCTTTGTTCGGTATGTACACCTTGACCATCGATCAACCGAAACGACATCTTCGTCTGGCTCGTGCAGGTAGCGCTGCGAGCCCTGCGAGCCGGGCGGAACAACATCGATGCCGCCTGGCAGTACCTGGAGAATCTGCGCCAAAGGAAGGTGAGCCGGCGGGAGGCCCGTTCTGGTCGGTTCATCTTGGTTGCTACTTGAACGGACGAAACCGCGGGCGTATTTTTCCCGCCGCTCGTCACATCCGAAAAACTCGAAAAGACCTCCAGAGGCGTACACAAGCGTGCTTTGAGCACGCGGTCGTCGTCGTTGATGTCAACGTCTTGTCTCTTTCGCTGCCGTATGTACGAGCTTCAGCTTTGCTGGATGGGCATCGGCTCTCGTCTACCCGAACAGCATGATCGGCGCCCTTCCACCTCCTGGCTGCACGGATGATGTTCTATGAGCTACACATGCACATGCACACGCGCGTTTTCGAGAGGTTCACGTGTTGCCCGCGTTGTTCCGCATCGTAATAGCCGATAGCCCACTTCCGTTCTTCTCGTTTCGGATTGATCTGGTTCTGTTGGCGGTTTTCTCGTCGATACACGCCCCCCGCCCCCGTGGTGTTGGTTTGCCGTCGCATACCCGCCACTCAAAGCGCGTGCTCCGCCTCGTCGCGGTCGGGGTGGCAGAAGGTCCTTCCCACGGTTGTTGGGCCATACACAGTCGATATCTCGTCAATAACATCCTCTCCCAGCTCCTCCTCCGCCCGCCCTTAATTATTATCCTATCGACATGTCTTTTCTTTCTTGACACGCTTCCGTTCGAAAGGAAACCGTGCGCAAGGAACGGAAGCTCAGGATGGAGCGGCGACGGGCTAGCCGGCTCGGGATGACGGCCGACAAGAAGGCCTACGTCAGCGAGAGCCTCGTCCAACAGCTGGCCGGAATGGGCTTCCCGAAGACCAAAGCCATTAGGTCAGGTTTAGATCCTCCTCACAAGCAGCCCCCGCCGATTTTCCAACAGCTGGCCCAAAGAAGCTTGCCCAGTCGTGCCGCAAAGCGAAGCTGTTGAGCCTCTCCGTTGTTGTTCAACGACCCGGCTTTGTGCAAAAGGCGTTCCGCCGTGTGTGCGGTCAAACTGATTTATGCGGCGGATTGCGGGACCATATGTTTTGGTTCTGATCCTCTCGGGATGTTCGTGTCTCGGAATGTGGCGTGGAAGGCCAACTCCGACGTCGTCCTGGCATGCAGGCAATGAGCACCTGAAGCATGTCCTTCTTCCTCCGAGTATTTTCATTATTGTATGTTCACTTTTTGGGTTTCCGCAATGCGGTGGCATGTCCCTCGGCGGTGTGAACCAGCGTTTCTCCGCCTTTTTGTTGTTGATCCTCTTCCTTTGTCACGAAGCAGCAGCTTCAGAACTGCGTTGACTCCTTCTCTCTCTCTCTCTCTCTCTCTCTCTCTCTCTTTCTCTCTCTCTCTCTGCCTCTCCCTGACACCCTGAGCATTTTGTGAACATCGAGCAGACACCTAAATCTGCGTATTTCTGTTTTTGCGTGCTGACTGCGTCCAACCATCATCCCTGCCACTTCCAGGGCCTTACGCCTCCACAACAACGACGTCGCGGCCGCCTTGACCACCCTCACCACGGGAGACAGCAGCAGCAGCAACGGTGGCAGCAGCAGCAACACCGACGACAACAAGAACGAGGCCCTGGCGGTCCTGCACTCCATGGGAGTTCCCCCCGAGGCGGCCCGCGACGTCCTCGACAGGACGGGGACCCTGCGCGACGCCCTGAACGAGCTCGGGCTAGAAGCTCCGGAAAGGGCGGCCGCCGCCGGCGTAGGCAGCGGCGGCGGCGGCGGCGGTGGTCTGGCGGGAGACGATGCCGGCGCTTCTCGCGTGGATGCCAACGATGACGACGACGACGATAGCGAGGCAGACAGTAGTAGCAGTGGCGGAGAGGAAGGGCTGGACTCGGAGCCGACGCCGGAGGAGAAGAGGCTGTTCGAGGAGCTGGCCGCGGACCGGGAGAACCAGGACGACGAGGGCTACCTGGACATCACGCTCGAGGACGAGAGCGACGCGGCGGACATGTGAGGCGCCGAAAGAAGCAATGCAGCGGGGCAGCTCTGAGCTCTTGGTATCCCCCCCCGGTTCCTCGCCCTCGTCTTTGCTTGGTACACTGGTTGGTGCGACCGCTGTTGCGTAGTACCGTTTCGGTCCTCTCTCGTGCCTCGGTTTTCGAGAAGCTTGATGATTTCACTCGCTAGGTTGGTCCGTCGATCGACACCTCTACCAACTGATCCATCCACAGACCCACCAGGAGGCGACTGTAGGGAGATTCACTCGCTTTCACTCGGGGCCAGAGGCCAGGTTAATGGCACAGGGGTTGGTTATTGTGCGGCTCAGGGAATCCGACCCGAATGTCGGTGTGCGGAGAAGAAATTACAAGCGGGGTGGTCGGGGACGACAGCGTGAGAGAGAGGGGGGGGGGGGGGGGGGGGGGGGGGAAAAAAAAGAAAAAAAAAAGAGGGCCCCCCCGGGGGCCCCCGGGGGCCCTTTTTTATTTTAAGGGGGCGGG